TGGGCTGAGAATTATTTTTTAAAACCTTTTTTTAAAGTAGCTGCCATTTTCATTTTGATACTGATCAGTTTTTCGAGATTCTAATTTCCCAAGCCAGTATCAAGTGTCATACGAAAGCATTTGAGCTGGTGTGTTTTCACGAGAGTTTCTCAGGATTGTCCATATGCTTAACGCCATGAGCCTCACCATTCTTTTCTTTTTCTGTTACAGACATTTGGCAGTGAAACCCTTAGTTATGCTAAGTGGATAATTCCTATAGCAGTGGCCATGTCTTGCTACAGTGGCTTAAACTCCTCAATAATTGCAGCATCTAGGTATGAAATACAAGATTTATTTAAATCGGTGAAAAGGATCAAACTGCATTCATTACTACTGCATTGTGAAAGTGACACAGTTAATTTTAGTCATGGCAAGTTGTTCATTCATGATGGAAGGATCATTACGATCTGATGCGTCTTCTCATGACCAGCACCGATTGATAAACTCAAGCCACTTGAGAAGAGGGCAGCATTTACAATAGAGAAAGGAAAGAATTCAAGCTGCCTTTGCCAGAAAGCAACAAGCTATTGCTTGGCTCACTGTCTGGTTGGCTTTTCTTATTCTTTTTTTCAGGCTTTTTTACGTTGGAGCCAGAGAAGGACACCTCCCTGACAGTCTGAGCTTGATTCATATAAAGTGCTTCACACCAGTCCCTGCTCTCCTCTTCAATGTAAGTGACAGCCCGTCCCCGTGCCTGCCCTGGGCAGCTGGAGGTTCAGACCCGGGGAGTATGACACCTCTCCGCTGCCCGGTGTGTTTCCCGGGCTTCTCCTGCACTGGAGACATCTTCATCAAGTGCCTACAGTTTCCCCCAGCAGGAGCATCTCTCAGACCCTGACGTAGGCTGATTTTCTGTGTTTAAGGAAGAGAAACCAGCACGCTTCACACAGCGTACCTCCAGGTTTCTCAGAGTTTTAAGTCCATCCTTCTTGCAGGGACCTGATCTCCTCACTGCAGGCAAATATAATGGCAATGAGCCGTTTATAACTTTGCTCCCTCTTTATTGTATAAGCCTTGTCTTTATTTTCACATTAAAAACTCTTTATTTTTATTATCTCTAGGGCTTAATGACTTTGCTTTATCTGCTTGTGGAAGATGTTTTCCTCCTCATTAATTACTACTGCTTCAACTACTGGCTCTTTGTGGGTCTGTCTATTGCAGGACTGATATATTTGAGGTATACTCAGCCGCACAGACCACGGCCCATTAAAGTAAGTAACTAAGAGAGGAAACAAGCCCTAAAGGCCAGCTAATGCATGGGCTTACGTGATCCTTAAGACCGCAGACATGACATTACCAGTTCAGTTATAGACCCTTTATCAGCCATAGGAATCCTTTCAATGTACAAGTTAAGAAGTGCAGGAGCAAAACCCATCTGAGTTTCCACGAGAACATCTGTGCTGGTACTTTTGCTGTGAGGTTGAAATGATATTTACTGTTGCTTTTTCCTCTCATTCAACCTTATACCTACTTTTATTTCAAAATAAATAAGGAATAGATAAATGCCTGGGCTTCTTAGCCT